TCTTCTGAGTACAGTGATTCCAGACATATGTCACTACTCCAAACTTGCTGAATTTTTGTGGTTGTTTTTTTTGAGGATGTATTTATTTGTTTTGTTTATTGTGTATTTCTCTTTAGTATATTTGTGTGCCTGAGACAACCAGAAGAGGGTATGAGATTCTTTGGAGTTGGAGTTACATGTGTTTTTCAAAGTGCCTATTGAGTGTGCTGGGAACTCAGTGTGAGTCCTTTGGAAAAGCAACAAGTGCTCTTAACCATTGAGGCATTTCTCCAGCCCTGGTCAGTTTGTTTGTTTGTTTGTATGTTTGTTTACTTTGCTTTGCTTTTTAAAAAATTTTTAGATTTATTTTGTGTGTGTGCATGACTGTTTTGCCTGCATGTATGTATATAAGTGCACTGCATGCAGTGCCCACAGAGGTCAGAAGAGAGTGTTGTATTTTCCAGAACTATAGTTACCGATGGCTGTGAGCCATCATGTAGATGCTCGAACTAAGCTGAGGTCCTTTGCAAGAGCAACAAATGGTCTTAACCTCTGAGCTGTTTGTTTGTTTGTTTGTTTGTTTCAAATCTAGGATGAGAAGTATTTTAGACTCTGAATTTAAGATTTACACTTAATATGTTCTTTTAGCCTAGAGTCTGGTGCAGGGATGTTCTACACTATAGTTCACAGTCCTTAGTCATGAACACGAATATGCTATAGGACAGTGAAAACATGGTCACATTTGAGTTTTGTTTTTAATTCTTCACCTGCTCTTCAGGAGAGCCATGGTTTGCTGAGCTGCTGGCATGGCCAGGTTCCCTATACAAGCCTTCCTAGCCAGCCAAGAAGCCCTGGGAATTTACTCTCTGGCCCAGTACAAAGCACTGTGCTGAGTACTGTGCCAAGTACCTAGAACTTGGCCTGTTATTTTCTCCACTGTTTGTCCTAATCTAATGAAATGCTACTTCAGATAGTAATACCTACCACACAAAAGGCCTGTCAACTGAGCAATTCATTTAATTCCCAGCCTCTGTCCCTCTTTGCTGGCATCTCAGATGAAGACATTGATGCACCCTTTGACAAGTCAGCCCTAGGCTCAGCACTTCCTTTTGACATCACATCATTTAATTGTCCATCCATCCTCTGTGAGACACAGTTGTTTCCCCAGTTTAGTGAATGAGGACAGTGGAAGGCAGGTCTAAGTTTTAGACCAGGTCTGTGCCAGTACTGATTTCAGTTCCCATTTCAGTTACTATGTTCATTTTGTTTTTAAGACTGGAGATAAATCTCAATGTTTCACAGAAACTAGAGCTTACGGGCATCTAATGATTGGCTGGTATTAGATTAGAGGTGACATTTCTTATAATGAGTTCTTTTAATATTTTTAAACATTTTTAGAATCGGTGATCTGAACTGATATGCAACCATAAACAAGGAATTAGTTCCGTCATCTCAGTTTATAAATTCTTCTCTGAGGAAAATTTTACTCTTCCCCTAACTAAGAGGAAAGGATAGAACTGATACCATATAGGGTTTTATTTATACTACTCTGAGGTTTCCCTTAAACTGCAGAATTTGAGTATTTCATTAAATCATCAGCTTGGAAACATAGTAATTCATGGTATGTTTAAATGATGGCCTTGGAAGGACTGTGATGCAGAACAAGCATATCGAATACTAAGTATTTCCAGTTGTCCAAACAGGATTTAATTGTTTAAAGAATACAATCTGGGCTAGAAAAGTACCTCAGCAGTTAGTTTGTGTGCTGTTCAGAGGACACAAGTTAAGTTCCCAGCACCCACATCGAGCAGCTCACAACACCCTGTAGCTCCACTTCTAGAAGAATTTGATGCCTCTGTGGGCACCTGCACACGTGCACATTCCCACACATCCACACAAAGTCAAAAATACTCTTTGTTTTTCTAATGTCTTGGTTAGGAAAGATTAATAAGAAAATTTACTTCTGGTTAACTTTTTAACCCTGTGAGACTTTTTTTCTATTTAATTTCTCATATTTCTTTTGAAAATGCTTACTTTTTCTCCAGATTCTTTTCTGTTTTGTTTTTGTTATTGTTATTTGGTTGGTTTTTGTTTTGGGTTTTTTTTTTTTTTTGAGAAGGTTAGTATTTGTATTAACTTTGGATGACCAATGAATTGATCCATTTTGCACTGGGGAGGGACCAAGAAGACAAATTTTTTTTGTTTAGTCAATGCCTGTTTTTATTGCCTAATATGCACAGCATGCAAGGGTTCAAGAGATGAATTGTTTTCTCCTGAATTTTATAGTTCTTTTGAAAAAGCACAATATACCTCTCCACCTAGCTCTCATGCAACACTCCCATACACAAAAACATCATACCTCATTAGAAATATCAAGTAGTCAGTTAGCCAAAATTCATAAACCTAGATCTGACCTGAGTTGTTATGTTAACATATGCATGAAATACTGGAGGAAGCTTCCCCAAGAGTCAGGGTCTAGCTACCATTCTTCCTGTGCCTGGAAGCTAGCTTTGGCAAGACAGAAGCTTAAGTCATAGAGACTAATGGTGAACTTGACTTCTCCTCCTGTGCCTTGAGACGAGGGTATGCTGACTGAAAGCATGTGTCCTCACCCATCCATTCACCCACCTGCCCTCTGACTTCCTGACTTTACTCTCCCCACATCCCGTGCTCGTACTACAAGCCAGGTTCCGCTGTTCTCTCACAAATGGCCACTGCTTACTTCCTTATCAGTGACCTAGATCCCCAGGAGCCTCGTGTGATCTCATCTACTGATCTATTCAAAACATAATACTTTAGATCCTTCTCTGGTTTCTGATATATTTATTTCTTTAAAACTAGATCGGATCTTAGTGTTTTTAAAATAGTCATGTACAATATGTCAGATCTCAAAATTAAAAATACAGATAGAATTCCTTGTACATATGTGCAAAGTCAAGATACGACATTAATGTTTTCTCAACCATGGTTATTCTAAGACTTCCTTAGAATACGCACATATGTGCTAGTGATTACAGCAGATTTGAGATCTGTTTGTTATCAAGAAGAGGGTTTGCTGTAAGGACATTTATTATTTATCACTATTTCTATGAAATTAAAACATTCCATCCAGAACATGATGAAATTTCAAGACTAAACAGGTTCCATGCTGGAAATGTTCACAAAAGTATAAAAACAGTTGAAATAAATGTATTTTCCAAAGTCAGGGCAAAGTTCCAACTGTCATTCTTATTTTTAGCTTTACAAGAGATTCTGCACCTTAACACAGTTGGGGAAGTGTGCAGAGCAGGCCATGGTGCATCTGTATATGCTGCTGCAAGTGCCATCCTTCTATGCAGGCTCCTGACTGTGGCCACCTATTCCTGAGCACTTTCAGGCCCTGACAGGGAAGCCTAGGCTGGTATGCTCTTTTCATCACCCTGTTTAGCTGATTGACAGCTCTTTCCTGGTCCTTGATCTTCTGTTTACACTCCTACCAGAAAGGAGACAACTTCTCAGTTATGTTTATCATTTGTTCTCTGCAGTGGCATCATAATGCAACTGAAGAAAGTCACAGTAAGATTGACAAGTGATGCATACTTGTGATCATAACACTTGAGAAGCAGAAATAGAAGGACTATAGTGAGTTACAAGGCAGCCTGAGCTACATAGTCAGACCCCATTTGAAAATGAGGTGTGTGAATATGAAGTAAATTGTTTTACAGCTTGTCATTGTTGTGTTAAATAATAATTTCATTGACTCAACTCCCTGAGCCTGAGCTCCCTTTTACCTGAGCACAAGCAATTGTTGCCTCCAGTTCCTGATTTTAAACACAGTGTGACCAGCTGTTTCAATCTTTTGCTCCCTTGATTTCCCTGCCCCATGATGGACTGTAACCCTAAACTTTGTAACAAAATAAACCCTTTCTTCCTTTAGTTAACTTTTATTGAGGTATTTTTATCACAGTAACAGGAAAAGAAACTAAGGCAGAGCCCAAAGCTAGAACTTAAGTCATGACACTAGTATTTCTTCAGAACAGAAATTTAAGAGTTAAATAAAGAAATCAACAAGTTTCTGTATGTATCATATAAAATTTTGTATCAATAAAGAGATCAAAAGTTGCACATACCTTTAATCCTTGCACCTGGTAAGTGCCAGGCCAGCCAGAGCTATACAGTAAGACTCGATCTTGATAGATGATAGATAGATAGATAGATAGATAGATAGATAGATAGATAGATAGATTCAATTTACATTAATAAAAGAAATCATTACAAGTCAGTGTGTAACAAATACTACTTTGTTCATTAAACTGATAAGAATTATATTTTAGCAACTGTGGCAAAAGAGATGGTTGCTAACTATATAACTAGTGGAGGAATGAGTTGTATGTATATTTATGTCAGCTTATAGTTAACAGTAATTTGTACTTTTAGAAGAATACTTACTTTTTGTAGTCTTTTTTTTTTTTTGAAACAGTGTCTTTACATAGTCCAGGCTGTCCTAAAACTCACTATATAGACCAGGCTGGCCTCACACTCACAGAGATCCTCTGGCCTCTGTCTCCCAAGTGCTGGGATTAAAGGCATGTGCCACTATGCTCAGTTTACTTTTTGTAATCTTTTGACCTTGCTGAAGAATGAAAGCAGTCTTGAAACGGCCTTTTTAATTGTAATTTTAAAAACTAATTGTAGACTTATAGTGTAGAATTTTTGTATACCCTTCTGATAGCTTTCCTTACCATTACCAGTGTACATATACAACCAGTGTAAAATGATCTAAACCAAGAAATTAGCGTTAGAACGGTGTTTTGGGGACTGGAGACTTGGATTAAGCAGTTAAGAGCATGCACTGCTCTTACAGTGTACCTAAGTTCAATTCACAGCACACTTATCAACTGGCTCAGACAAAACTGCCTGTAACTCCAGCTCCAGGGCATCCAACACCCTCTTCTGGTTACTGAGGGCAGTGCACTCATGCGCGCGCGCGCGCGCGCGCGCGCACACACACACACACACACAATAAAAGAGATATATTTTTTGTTAATGCTTGGTTAAAATTTATAAATGGCAAAGGGAAACTTGAAATTATTTGATGCGTTGTGGTTTAAGAACAATACTTGAATACAATCGTATACATGAAAATGCATAGGATGATATCTCTCTAGTTCTAATATAATTGTTTTCAAGATGAAGATGTTCAAGAGCTGAATCCTCATCCTCTTCAACATTACAGATTTGTTCAGGAAGAATATTCCTAAAGAAAAATAGAAATGTAAAATATAAACAGTCCAAGAATCTAAGTTTATAATTTATAAGCTTAGGGTTTTTTTTTTTTAATGTTTTGGTTCTTAAAATGCAGTTAGGCATGACATGGTGACTCACATTTGTCTTTCCAGTACTCAGAAACCTAATGAAGAATTGCAATGAGTTTATATTCACTACTCAATTGAGTTCCAGGCTAGCCTGGTCTAAAGTAAGGCCAGGTCTCAAAAGCTGTGGGATAGGGGTAACAGTAGGGACAGTCGAGGCAAGTGTAAGAAGTGAAGCTACAGGAGTGCTCTAATGGAGCATTGCCACAGCCTGCGGAGGGAGGGAGGGAGGGAGGGACGGAGGGAGGGAGGGAGTGAGGGAGGGAGTTCTTCCTAAAGGCTGATTTGAAACAGGAGCCTCTCTCACTGAGTAGGTGTAGTCAAGACTGGCCTGTAACTCTTGATCCTGTTGCCTTCACCTCTCAATAGCTTGAATTAAAAGCATGAACACCACACTTGACTCCAGACTGCTCCAGATTCATCTTGTAGTCACCCATGCTGCCTAGGCAGGTATAATGATTAAACACACATGTCCCCCACAGTGAAGGAAATTGAGTGCCAATAAATTCCTTCAGAATTTGCCTTCATAAAACTCTATCTTTGCCAGGCGGTGGTGGCGCACGCCTTTAATCCCAGCACTTGGGAGGCAGAGGCAGGCGGATTTCTGAGTTCAAGAGTTCGAGGCTAGCCTGGTCTACAGAGTCAGTTCCAGGACAGCCAGGGCTACACAGAGAAACCCTGTCTCGAAAAACCAAAAAAAAAAAAAAAAACCTCTATCTTTAGGCAACTTTTGTACTCTGCAGGTCACTTTCTGTATGTACATGGGGATTTCAGTATAGTGATTTATTTATTGCTTTACAGCCTTAAAATGAGTCTGTTTCCAAGACTTTACATACTGTGTAATAATATTCTACTTAATGCTATGGAAATTTACAAAATTAATACAAAAGTAGAGATCATTATAATCATATACCTATTATTCCACTTTAGCAATTACTAACATTGTCGGTTTTGTTTAGTTCTAATTACTTTTTATAACCATTTTTTCTCATCAAAATAAATCCAAAGGTTCATATTATGAGTCTTTATTTGTTAATCAAAATTTAAATTGATAATTGAAATATCTAAAATTTACCGAATCTTATTGTTGTTCAGTCTCAGAAAATGCAGTGCTTTCATGTCTTGTATTCCAGGTGGTATGGATTTGAAGTCATTGTGATCCAGAAATAATTCTCTCAGAGAATGATATGCCCCATAGAATGAGACTAGGTCCACACCATCATCAGAAAGTCTGTTAAATGACAGGTACAAGTACTCCAGGCCTGGTTCCATGTGGCCAAACACATAGCCAGGGATCCGATCAATTTGGTTCCCAATTAGGACAAGGTGCAGAAGTGATTTGGGTAGATAGGAGGGGACGTGGTAGAGCTTGTTATAGGACAGGTCAATAGATTCAAGATTCCTGCAACAAAGGAAACGTGAGCAGGATGAAGAACCTCCGGAGACTGACTGGCCATCCTGATGGTCCTGAACAGAACTAGGTTCTATGCCAGCCTGGGTCTGTCTGGCTCTCAGCCTCATGCTGTTCCCAGCATTCACACCGCTCCTTAGCTATGGGTGTGTATCTTCCCAGCATTCACACCGCTCCTTAGCTATGGGTGTGTTTCAGAGTCCAGGTGGGAAAACCCAGATCCTTTGGGAAATTGGGAAACAAATTCAAAATTGTTGAATCAAATGAAATCTAGGAGTCTTTGCTTCCAGAAATGAGATTTGGGATGAGAGTGGGGGTTGCCTTCATCTTTCACCCTTATTAGATTTGTGATCTGGCATATCAGAGACTTGTCATGTGAGATAAAGGGATTAGGGTAAAATAGAGGAATCTAAAGTATTCATGCACTGGGAAGTCCTGGGAATGTGGTGAGTTCCATCCTTTCTTTCAAAAGTTTTCCTTGAGTCTACAAGGGCTTCTGCCCAGCCCTCTTCACTCAATATTCCTCTATTCATGAAAGAATTCATTATCCTCCAATTGGTTCCAAACCTCTCTTCATCTCTCTGAACTATCCATGTCCCAGGTTGGTCAACTTAGGAGTATATTTTTTGCACAGACATGCAGCCTTTACTAAAGATTGAAAATAGGCTGTTGATTCCTGTCTAGGAAGTTGGATTTTATTTTGTATCTCTATTCTCAAACAAAGCCTTCTTAAGATTGAGAAATGCTTTGGGCCAAAGAAGGCAGCATGGTCTAGGAAGACAGGCCTAGCCTCTGGCATTTCCATCTAATGATGAAGAAAAGAGTTGTCTACTTATTCCTCTCTGTATGTAGACATTACGCTGTTTCAACTGACAACCTGAGGTAGACACTGCTTGGGTGGCATTTGATTGCTAGGGATCAGCCCTCATTTCTTTCTAGTTTAGCACTCAGAGAGTAGTGGTCATGATACCAATTATATAATAAATGGTTTGGAAACTCAATGAGATAGCTAAATGTTAAAATTAAGAATAACAGTTCCATTGGAAAGGATACTTAGAAAGTTAAATTGTGGTAGATACTTACTCTTGATTTATCCATGCTAAAGGAGCAATCCGACTTTCTTCTATTTTATTATAACGTAGTACGATCATAGTTATCTTTCTGGTATGATTGAAACAAATTTCAGTTATTTCTTCAATTTGATTATTTTCCAGGTATAACTCCTATAAATAAGAGAAAATATTATTTTTCTTCTGTTTGCATTCAATGGTATCCAATTTCACAAAAATTAAAATAGAGTATTCTCATTAGTATTAAAGTCTTATTATTCAAGTCAGTTCATACTTTTAAATTGTCAAATTTTATAGCTAGCAAAATAAAAAGTGCTGCTTATCATGATTATGGGATTAAATAACCTTAATTTGTATGTTTATGCATATTTGAGAGTGGGGGTATGTGCAGGCACATGTGTGTGCAGGAGCATGTGGAGGACAGAAGTTGGTATGAGAGCTCTTCCTCAGGCACTCTCCAGCATTTTACCAAGTATATCATCTCTTCAAGTAAGTAAGCTTAGCTTTTAGCTACATATGATACAGCATAACATGTAATTGTATACATTTTCTGACTTATAAAACTTATATTGAGCTACAGAACACTGAAAACTGGGAGTAGATAATGACAACTCAGCAGTGAGAAACTCAGGCCTGTAGAAAGAGTAACAGGCATTGTAGGTTCCAGGGCGGATGCCTGAGGGGCTGGGCTGGCTGAGTATTAGCTTCAGACCAGCTTCCCACCATCCCATAATAGTCATAATTATTTTAGGTTCATGTTTCTACACTTGATTTATAGTCTATTTACTCATAAAATTAAAGTTCATAAAGAATCTTAATTTGGATAAGAATGCAACCTGCTAGAACTAAGTTTTTAGAACCTAGCTACTTTCAAGATGCTGGTTTTAGAAAAAATGTTTTACTAAAGTCTCTGAATTACTAAATTTTTCTGGACAAATCTACCAAGGTGAACTCTCAATTCTGAACATCTATGCTCCAAATGCAAGGGCACCTACATACATAAAAGAAACTTTACTAAAGCTCAAAACACACACTACACATTACACAATAATAGTGGGGGATCTCAACACCCCTCTCTCAGCAATGGACAGATCATGGAAACAGAAACTAAACCGAGACACTTTGACATTAACAGAAGTTATGAACCAAATGGACTTAACAGACATCTATAGAACATTTCACCCTAAAACAAAAGAATATACCTTTTTCTCAGCACCTCATGGTACCTTCTCCAAAATAGACCATATAATTGGTCACAAAACAGGCCTCTACAGATACAAAAAGATTGAAATAATCCCATGCATCTTATCAGATCACCACGGACTAAGACTGGTCTTTAATAATGACAAAACCAATGGAAAACCCACATGCAAATGGAAACTGAACAACTCTCTACTCAATGATGACTTGGTCAAGGAAGAAATAAAGAAATTAAAGACTTTTTAGAATTCAATGAAAATGAGGACGCATCATACCAAAACTTGTGGGACTCCTTGAAGGGAGGGCTAAGAAGAAAACTCATAGCTCTAAGTGCCTACAAAAAGAAACTGGAGAGAGCACACACTAACAACTTGACTGCACAACAATAAGCTCTAGAACAAAAAGAACCAAATACACCCAAGAGGGGTAGAAGGCAGGAAATAATCAAACTCATGGCTGAAATCAACCAATTAGAAACAGAAAGAACAATACAAAATATCAACAAAACCAGGAGCTGGTTCTTTGAGAAAATCAACAAGATAGATAAACCATTAGCCAGATTAACCAGAGGGCACAGACAGTATCCAAATTAATAAAATCAGAACTGAAAAGGGAGACATAACAACAGAAACTGAAGAAATTCAAAAAATCATCAGATCCTACTACAAAGGCCTATACTCAACAAAACTGGAAAACCTGGGTGAAATGGACAACTTCCTAGACAGATACCAGGTACCAAAGTTAAATCAGGAGCAGATAAACCATCTAAATAGTCCCATAACCCCTAAGGAAATAGCAGCAGTCATTAAAAGTCTTCCCACCAAAAAAAGCCCAGGACCAGATGGTTTTAGTGCAGAATTCTATCAGACCTTCAAGGAAGACCTAATACCAATTCTCTTCAAACTATTCCACAAAATAGAAACAGAAGGAACACTACCCAATTCGTTCTATGAAGCTACAATTACACTCATACCCAAACCGCACAAAGACCTGACAAAGAAAGAGAACTTCAGACCAATCTCCCTTATGAACATCAATGCAAAAATACTCAATAAAATTCTAGCAAACTGACTCCAAGAACACATCAAAACAATCATCCATCATGATCAAGTAGGTTTTATCCCAGGAATGCAGGGATGGTTCAGTATTGGGAAATCCATCAATGTAATCCACTATATAAACAAACTCAAAGAAAAAAACCACATGATCATCTCGCTAGATGATGAGAAAGCATTTGACAAAATTCAACATCCTTTCATGATAAAAGTCTTGGAAAGATCAGGAATTCAAGGCCCCTACCTAAACATAGTAAAAGCAATTTACAGCAAAACAGTAGCCAACATCAAACTAAATGGAGAGAAACTTGAAGCAATCCCACTAAGATCAGGGACTAGACAAGGCTGCCCACTCTCCCCCTACCTATTCAATATAGTACTGGAAGTCCTAGCCAGAGGAATTAGACAACAAAAGGAAGTCAAAGGGATACAAATAGGAAAGGAAGAAGTCAAAATCTCACTATTTGCAGATGATATGATAGTATACTTAAGTGACCCCCAAACTTCCACCAGAGAACTCCTAAACCTGATAAACAACTTCAGCAAAGTGGCTGGTTATAAAATCAACTCAAACAAATCAGTAGCCTTCCTCTACATGAAAGATAAACAGACTGAAAAAGAAATTAGGGAAATGACAACCTTCACAATAGTCACAAATAATATAAAATACCTTGGTGTGAATCTAACCAAGCAAGTGAAAGACCTGTATGACAAGAACTTCAAGTCCCTGAAGAAAGAAATCGAAGAAGATCTCAGGAGATGGAAAGATCTCCCATGCTCATGGATTGGCAGGATTAATATAATAAAAATGGCCATCTTGCCAAAAGCAATCTACAGATTCAATGCAATTTCCATTAAAATCCCAACTCAATTCTTCACAGAGTTAGAAAAGGAAATTCTCAAATTCATTTAGAATAACAAAAAACCCAGGATAGCGAAAACTATTCTCAACAATAAAAGAACTTCTGGATGAATCACCATCCCTGACCTCAAGCTGTACTACAGAGCAATAGTGATAAAAACTACATGGTATTGGTACAGAGAAGGCAGGAAGATCAATGGAATAGACCCAGAAATGAACCCACATACCTATGGTCACTTGATCTTTGACAAAGGAGCTAAAACTGTCCAGTGGAAAAAGGACAGCATTTTCAAAAAATGGTGCTGGTTCAACTGGAGGACAACATGTAGAAGAATGAAAATTGATCCATTCTTATCTCCTTGTGCAAAGCTCAAGTCTAAGTGGATAAAGGACCTGACATAAAACCAGATACACTGAAACTAATAGAAGAGAAGGTGGGAAAGAGCCTCGAATACTTGGGCACAGGGGAAAAGTTCCTGAACAGAACACCAATGGCATATGCTCTAAGAACAAGAATTGACAAATGGGACTTCATAAAATTGCAAAGTTTCTGTAAGGCAAAGGACACTGTCAATAGGACAAAATGACAACCAACAAATTGGGAAAAGATTTTTACCAATCCTACATCGGATAGAGGGCTAATATCCAATATATACAAAGAACTCAAGAAATTAGACTCCAGACAACCAAATAACCCTATTAAAAAATGGGGTATAGAGCTTAACAAAGAATTTTCAATGGAAGAAACTCGAATGGCCGAGAAGCACCTAAAGAAATGTTCAGTATCCTTAGTTGTCAGGGAAATGCAAATCAAAACAACCCTGAGATTCCATCTCACACCAGTCAGAATGGCTAAGAGTAAAAACTCAGGTGATAGTAGATGCTGGTGAGGGTGTGGAGAAAGAGGAACACTCCTCCATTGTTGGTGGGACTGCAAGATGGTGCAACCACTTTGGAAATCAGTCTGGCGGTTCCTCAGAAAATTGGACATAGCATTACCTGAGGATCCAGCTATACCACTCCTAGGCATATACCCAGAAGATGCTCGAACATATAACAAGGACATATGCTCAACTATGTTCATAGCAGCCTTATTTATAATAGCCAGGAGCTGGAAAGAACCCAGATGTCCTTCAACTGAGGAATGGATTAAAAAAATGTGGTACATTTACACAATGGAGTATTACTCAGCTATTAAAAACAACGAATTCGAGAGGTTCCTAGGTAAATGGATGGAACTAGAAATTATCATCCTGAGTGAGGTAAGCTAGTCACAAAAGAACACATGGTATTCACTCACTGATTATTGGATATTAGCCCAGAACCTTGAAATGCCCAAGATTCAACTCACAGGCCACATGAAGCTCATGAAGAAGGAAGACCAAGTGGGTGTGATTTGGTCCTTCTTAGAAGGAGCAACAAAATACTCAAGGGAGCAAATATGGAGACAAAGTGAGGGACAGAAACTGAAGGAGGGGCCGTCTGAAGACCTTTCTACCTGAGTATCCATCCCATGTGCAGTCACCAAAGGTAGATGCTGATGTGGAAGTCAGGAAGTGCATGCTGATAAGAGCCTGATATGGATGTCTCCTCAGAGGTCTGCAAGAGTCTGACATATTCAGAGGCAGATGCTCACAACTAGCCATTGAACTGATCATGGGGTTCCCAATGGAGGAGTGAGAGTGAAGGCCATTGGAGCTGAAAGGGTTTGTGGCCCCATGAGGAGAGCAACAATACCAACCAAGCACAGCTCCCAGGGTCTAAACCACCAGACTGGGAGCATTTAGGGAGGGATCCATGGCTTCAGCTGTATACGTAAGAGCGGAGGGCCCTAATGGGCATAGGTGGAAGATGAGATCCTTGACCTCATGAAGGCTGGACGCCCCAGGGGGTGGGAATTTGAGGGTGGGGAGGTGGGAGTGGGGGGGTAGGTAGGGGTACATCCACAGAGAAGCAGGAGGAGGGGTGAGGGGATGGGGGTTCCTGGGTGGGTGGGGGATGGGGTAAGGGGACAACATATGAAATGTAAATAAAACATCCAATAAAAAAAAAATTCTTTCTAAAAAAAAAAACCAAAAACCAAAACAAAAAATTTTTCTGGCTATAGTTAGACTGCATATGTAAAATTAGCTTATATATTAAATGTAACTTTATTCATATCATTTTTATTTTTTTGTAACTCAATTTTGGCATTTGTTTAAAATGCATAAAAGAACATTCAGCTTTTTGCTTTTATTGTCCTGTGTAATTAAGGAATGAATTATGTGAGAGATTTACAAACTCAAGTGTACATCAGAATCACCTCATAAGACTTTTAAAGTACAAACCCCAACCTAAATATATCACAGGAAGTGCTATTAAAGTAGGTTCTGGAATACTCATCCATGTGCTGAAGATTCTCAAGCTATAGCAAAGATTGGTATGTGACAGTCAGATGTGCCATAATATAAGGCTGACCTGCAGCAGTGATTTTAGAAGGATTTATAGAAAATAGCTTGTGCTGTTTACCATATGCCAGAATATCCAATGTTGGTGGAAATATGTCCTTTGGAGAGACAGAAACCAGGCTGTGAAGTTCAGGCATGGAGAAAGGAATATTGATATATATATCACCTAAGTTGCATGTGTATATGCTTTTCCAGTTGCATGTATCAAAATATTTTAAATGTTATTGTATTTATTTTATGTGCATATGTGTATGTGAATAGACACATATGTGGAGATCAGAAGACAACTTGTATCAGTTGTCTCCACAATATGGGTCTCAGGGATCAACCTCAGGTTGTCAGGTGGGTACCAGTTAAGCCAAATATTTTGTATCCTTCAAAAACAATTTTAGGTGCCTGACCTTACTGATAAAGCATCAGAATTAGTATGTCAAGAATGGGTCCCAGAGCCGGGCAGTGGTGGTGCACGCCTTTAATCCCAGCACTTGGGAGGCAGAGGCAGGCGGATTTCTGAGTTCAAGAGTTCGAGGCTAGCCTGGTCTACAGAGTCAGTTCCAGGACAGCCAGGGCTACACAGAGAAACCCTGTCTCGAAAAACAAAAAAAAAAAAAAAAAAAAGAAGAATGGGTCCCGGAGTCTATATCTTAATATCTTAGATGAGAACTTGAGACTATAGGTTTAATCCCCAGTAACGTATAGAGCAGGACATGGTGATACATGCCTGTAATCTCAACACTTGAGAGGTAGAAGCAGGAGGATCAGGAGTTCAAGGTTCTCCTTAAAAACAAAAACTGAATGATTCTGATATAAAGCCAAGTACTGGCAAATTCCAGTGTTATAGAGCTATGTCTCTTTTTCTATCCATAGGAAGAAGCAAGAGCATGCACGCATAATAGAAAGCCTTCTCTTTTGGGTCAGTAGGACTAGAAGAACTGTAGACTGGCTTCTTGTGGGATGAACATGGAATGTGGTAGAAACAAGTTCAGACAAGGAAACCTGAGTCCCAGCTTTGCCTGCAAGTGTATAGAGACTCTCTAAACCTTATGCTCCTAATTCAAGAAATAAGCACTGACAGTTGTTGGCGAAAGACCACCTGAGCAGGAGAGTACTCCTACGAACCACTAGGGATGCCAGAAGATTTGAAACAAGAACAAGGTCTGGAGCCTGAAGTTAGGCACAGTACAGTTTTGCATAGAACTGATGAAAATTTCTAAGCCTGAGTTCCTAAGATATTCCAGGGTTTATTGGTGCAATTCTTAGGTCCATCCATATTGTTACTATTTGGTCAGAATGTGGTTTTATTCAGAACTTGTGGATTGAGGATGGGTTGGATAGTTTTATGTCAATTTGACACAAACTAAAGTCGTCTGAAAGGAGGGAACCTCAATTAAGAAAATGCCTCCATAAGATAGAACAAGCCTATAGGACATTTTCCTAATAGGTTGATGTGGGAGGGCCCAGAGCATTGTGAGTGGTGCCATCCCTGGGCTGGTGGTCCTGGATTCTATATGAAAATAGACTGAGCAAACCATGAGAACAAGCCAGTAAGCAGCACCCCTCCATGGCCTCTGCATCTGCTCCTTCCAGGTTCCTGTCCTGCTTGAGTTCCTGTCCTGACTTCCTCCAATGATGAACGGTGCAGTGGAAGTATAAGCCAAATAAACCCTTTCCTCTTCAAGTTGCTTTGGTCATGGTGTTTTGTTGCAGCAACAGAAACCCTAACTAGGACAAGGGACAAGCAGTTAAACTTGCTTGTTCTGGTTTAGGATAATTTAGTCTCTTTTCCACAAAGAACTGTCATCATTGCCATTTTTTATTTTATTAGGTGCATCTACTACTCAGATGACAATTAATTCTGTATATAGGACAAGAGCTTTTTTCAGTTTAGTATATATTTACAGTAGCTTTCTAATACACATTTGTTTTGGAGCCAGCAAGATAGCTTAGTAGATAAGTGCTTGCCACACAAGCCTAGTGGGCTGAATTTGAGCCCAAGAATCCATGGTGGAAGAGAGAAAACCAACTTCCAAATGTGCTCTGACTTCCACATATACCTTGTGGTGTGTGCATGCCTGTATTCATGTCTCTCTCTCTGTCTCTCTCTCTGTCTCTCTCTCTGTCTCTCTGTCTCTCTCTCTCTCTCTCTCTCTCTCTCTCTCTCTCTCTCTCTCTCTCCCCTTTCCTTCTTCTCCCTCTCCTCCCTCTCCCTTTCTCTCTCCCTCCTCTCCCTGTCCTTCCCCCTGTCCCTCCCCATCCCTCTCCCTTTCCCTCCCTCCCCTTCCCACCCTCCCTCTCCCTCTCCCTGTCCCCCCCTCCCTCCCCCCCCCACACACAAAACAATAATAATAACATTTAAGGGATATATTTATCTTGTATATTTCTGTAATATGTAATACATTTGAAATGTTAGAAGAACAGTGTGATATCACACACAGTTCCAGCACTTGGGAGACTGAACCATGAGAATCATGATTTCAAGGCCAGCTTGGCCTACATAGTGAGATCCTGTCTCATAAAACAGAAATTAAAAGAACGGTATCATTACCTCAATAGAAGCTGGAAGACCTTGTGGTATAATTCTAAATTTGTTTTTTCCCAGACGTAGATATGATAGGCTCTTCAAAGATTTAAAAGCTAGAGGGTTGACATTGATTTCACTGAGATTGTTTCCTTCCAATTCTAAAGTGACAAGTTGATTTAAATCTAGAAAAATAAAATCATTCAAGTATTAGACTAACTTTAAAAGCATGCAGTTTGGTCTGATGGTGTAGCTCAGTGGCAGAGCACTTGCCAAGGACCTAGAGTAGAGCCCTGGCACTGCAGAACGAAGAAACAGTAAAAATAGGAAAGAAACCATTTGGAAAAAATTGGAGATTTGTAATTTCTTCATCTTTGTTTCCCCCATAAATCATTTCCCTGAGTACTATATCCATGACTTCTGCACAGTTCTACAGGACAAGCAGCTGCAGAGAACGGTGACTAGAGAATAGTGGCTATGGGAGACAACAGACAAGAAAGAATGAGTCACAGCACTGGGTAAAGTAGCTTACCTACTGCTCTCATCCACAGCAGCAGAACTCACCAAAGGCAAGGAGCCCAGCAGCTTCCCCAGACAAGGAATATCCAGCACCCCAGGGGCCAGTACACAGCAGGAGTAAGAACCCAAGCCACCAGTGAGTACCAAGAGACTTCTTATGTGAGAGAGCAGAAGAGATCTTCTTTTCTGACCACCAGCATGAAGATGTGCTTGGTGCATAGAGATAAGAGAGAAGATAACTGTTCCACCCAGGGCTATAAATCAACACTCTAGAAATACAAAGTTTTTATGTGAGAGGGACAAGGTATGCTGAGAAGCTATCCCAGGGATATATGAGAAAAACTTCAGAATAGTAAATATATAGTAAGACATGCCTGGAAAGCTGAGATAGAAAGATTCTAAGTTCAAGGCCAGCCTGGACTATAAAGTGAGACCCTGCCTAAGAACAAAAAAACAATCAGTAATTTATGTTTTATAGGTTATCATTTTAATAGCAGGCCTAGAAATGTAAACTCAGCCTATTTATATGCTTGTTCTAAATTCCGTGTTCCCTTCAGTCTAACAGAGCAGTTAGAAATTAAAGTTTCCAGTGTCCTTTCCATATGACAAAGCCCATCAAAATCTGTGTTTATTACTGTTTTGCATGTGCACACTCAAGTCCATCTGGAGACTGAGTACTTCCATAGCTATGTAATTCTCACATTTGGCACTTCTCATCACTGCTGTTCTTTTCTCATCAATGGAAGAGTTTTTTCCTATGAGGTTTTTTGGAAGCTAACGGAAGTAATACTTGGGTTGTTTATTCCTTTATGTGCTCTCTCTCATATTGCTTAATAACTAGGTTTCAACTCACGTAAACAAAGTATTGGGCAGTATACTTCAAGAGCAGTGCTAGGTGGTTATGAAGATAAAAGAGAATCAGGCGGTCTTGTCTTAAGGGAACTCAAAAGCTATCAACAGTTTCAGTTAGGATTTGTACAAAGTGAAATATAATGATACTGCTGTGCAGTTGCAGTTCAATGCCTTCAGCTGCTATCACTGGAGAAAGAATAAGCGTCCACTCCAGCAGGTGTAAGCACACCTTACTGAATTGTCCATCAGAAAGCCAAGCTGTGCTGACAGCCTCATTTCATACAGCATGGGGTACAGAATCAGCAGGACTTCAACTTACACACACTTAAGACAGAGCTGCCAGGGCTGCTACTGTGAGCTTCCTTGCCCCTTGTTTAGCAGCACCTCTGCCTCATACACAGTGCACATTCATTCTGTCTTTACACAGAATTTCCAACTTGGCTTGAAGTTCCAACATATAGTAGCAGTGCATATGGACATGGTGAGTCACCTAAACACATGGTGCTCAGGGAGTGTTAGAGCAGCTCTTCAGATATTAAAGCCTTGTAAGAGAGTTACTATGCTATGAGTGATGAACACCTGGCCTCATTAAGAAAAAGTTTTATTTAAGATTAAGGTAGGGTTTGTTTGTTTGTTTTAAAGAACATTGAAAAGACAATAGGAGACTTACATTTCTTGGGTAAGTGACTAAAGTTAATTTATTAACTTAATGCTGAAATAGCCTGAAATTTTCTATTTATGCATTTAGTGATACTGTAAATCAATTTCTATAGGACAATAGAAGAATGGTTATAAAATACATCTTTTAAAAAATGTTGGTATGGGCCACAATAAAAAAAAAAAAGCATTAATGAAATGCTACCTAATGATACTCTGCTGCACTGTAGACCAGAGCCTAGCCTAATCGATGATGAGAACAGATGCAGAGACCCACAGCCAAACCTTAGGCAGAGACCAGGGAGTCCTGTGGGAAATGGAGAGGAAGGGTTATAGGTGCAAGAGGAGTCAAGGACACCAGACGAACACAACCCACAGAATCAACTAGGCAGGAGTCATAGGGGCCCACAGAGACTGAACCAACAATCAGGGAACCTGTATGGATCTCACCTAGGTCCTCTACATATATGTTATGGTTGTGTAGCTTGGCCTTCTTGGGGGACTCCTAACAGTGGGGGTGAAGGCTGTCGCTGATTCTTTTGCCTGCTTTTGGGACCCCTTTCCTCCTACTAGGTTGCCTCATCCAGACTTAGTATGAGAGGGGGAGCCTAGTTTTATTACAACTTGATATGCCATGTTTGGTTGGTGTCCCTGGGAGGCCTGCTCTTTTCTAAAGGAAAAGGAGGCAAAGTGGATATGGAAGAGGTAGAGAGAGGGGAAACTATGGTCAGGGTGTACTATATGAGAGAAGAATTAAAAAAAAAAAAAAAAAAAGTTGGTCTAGGGAAATGGCCCAGTAGGTAAAGTGCTTGCTGTTTCAAGATTGAGTACCTGAGTTCAGATCCCCAACATTCTGGGAAAAGCTCAATGTTGCAGGACATGCCTATAATCCCAGCTCTAAGAAGCAGAAATAGAAAGATCCTGTGGACTTATTGTATTGGCCAATCATTTCGGTTCAGTGGGAGACCTTTATCTCAAAAACAAAAACAAAACAACAACAAAAAAAAAAGAAAGAAAGAAAAGAAAATGATAGAGGAAGATACTGACATCAATCACCTGTGATTTTCAAAGCAATCACTATTGCACCCCCCCACCCCCCACACACGATTTACATACCTGATAAACTTTCCTCATCAATAGCCTGGAGATTGTTGTCATTTATTTTAAGTTCTTCTAGTGTAGATGGTAATTCTGAAGGAATATGTACCAAATTATTTCCATCCATGTTCAGACGCGTTAGCTTCTTCAAAGACTTAAAAAACAAATCTCAAAATTACCATTTTCCAGTCACAGTTATTTCACAATATTCCCCACATAACAGTGAGTCTTCTGCTGTAAGACCTGAGATTTAACCTTCTTAGCAATAAACAGAATTAACTTCAGTAATTTGAATCTCTTGTGAATGCTAATAAGTAATTTTAAGATATTTATAAAGTTCAGTTTCCTATTTTCACTAAGCACTATTTAGGTGGGTAGAGATGGAGAGAGGATCTAGAAGAACTTGGATGGGAAAGAATATGATCAAACTATATTTAAACTTAAATTTTGATTTCAATAATAAAAATATAAAAATTTCAAAACTATATATTATATATGATTACCCAAACAGTTGACTTTTGAACACTATGTTTCCACATCTATAATTGCACGTTCATTGCAGGCCTATCCTGTACCACCAAATGAGCATGGAATGCTTGATGTCTATAGGAATCATGTCTTTAAGTTTCACCAGGACAGAGATCTCCAAACCAAAAAGCAAATAATCTATGACATTTTCTCTTATTCAATTATAGGATAAGTCTATGACCCTCTATGCCAACTGTTACTGAACAGAAGGATAGAGAATATGAAGCAGGCACTGGGGAGTCCCCTCATCTGCCTGCTTAGACTCCAGAGAACTAGGAAAGAATCCAAGAGGCCAGTCATTTGTTTCAAGGGCAGATCAAGGGCCCAGAATATTAATCAACGGGTGAAACTGTAACCTAGTGACATACAGTGTGCTTTACTTAAAGCGTTAATATAAACACTCTGTGTGCTGTCATTTAGTCACACCAACTTTTCCTCTTTTTTTCCCTGAAATTCCTTGAGCTTTCAGTATTTTCTCATTTTGCAAAAGAATTGTTCTTCAAATCTGTTTTCTTCAAATATTACCTTTGAATATTTGCTGTCCTTTCTCTTTCACTCTGCTCCCTCATCTAGCTAGTGATGGTTTTCATATGAGTGCATGCTTTTTTAAAAAACTTTCCCTGCCAAAATAGTTCTCACCATATTCAGTCCACTGTGCAAAAGTATGAAAGCTTCACTCTAATGGCCCAACTGTTTTAATAGGGGTTCTAGATAAACTCTCTTTTATTACTTACTGGACAGTTCTTCACATGCTAAAAGAACATATTCAGTGAACCTTCTCTTTAGTGATCTAAAGAGAAACTATTCCTTAAATTCAAAACATTAGTTATCTCTGATCTTACTGTTAGCAGTCATCTCATAAGGTCAACATACATAAAGCAACAAAGCTAATCAAGAGAGAAGTGACTGTAATTTAAGGATATCAGAGAAGAAGCAATGTAGAAGAAAAATAGCAATAAAAGCCTTTCTGCTTATTTTTTTCCTTCCCCACCTCCAACCACAGCCAGTAGGAGTCATATTGTTACATACTAATGGAAGTGTGTACCTTGAAAGCTTTTGGACCTATGCTGGAAGAAGTGATATTATTTCTGCTCAGATCAAGTCTTTCCAAATTTGGTAATCCATTAAATGCTTCGTCTGGAATGGAGATGATTGAATTCCCTAGGATATACAGTAGTTGTATTAGACACACATGTAGATATAGACATGTACATATATACTCATAATATGTGTGCTTGTCTTTGTGTACATGAATGGTAAGAGAAAGCTTTACATTGGAAATTAGAGCAATATTCAGAACAAGGACAGGAAATATATAAACAAATGCACACTTGGAAAAATAACAAGATTGGAATGGGACAGTCAAAAGTGTGTCTGGGTCAGGACCTCATGATTCAGATAAAGCTGCTAAAAAAAAAAATACCCCTGTCTGTTGCCCAGGGATAGTAGCATTGTGCATTCACAACAAAGATGTTTTTCTGTGAGGCTAGACAGAAACTGACTGCTTCCTTCATATTTTTCCATTGTCATTTCCATGGACTTGGAAACATGATGCTGTATATATCCAAGAAATCAAGGAAAATTCCTCAGTGTCTGTGAGCATGTTTCCTTCTCTGTATAAGAAGCTCAGTAAAATCCTATCTCATAGATTCCTCCATATCTGATAGTATACCTTTCTGTCTTCAAGCTAAAAGGATCCTACATCTTTCTATTTTATGTACTTGTGTCTTAACATTTGTCTAAGTACAGTCATCAATGTTTTTAAACATCTTCTTGTAAAACAACGACTGCATAACCCTATATGGTTATTCCTTTGACTTCAGTCTTTCACTGAGTTCTGTAAGGCAGAGGGTACCTGCCACATAACCCCATGGGAGAAGGCTTTGCCAGGTATGCAGATTCTTTCAGTGATTTTACATGAAAATCTGTTGTCAAGGAGACCATGTCATTGACAGCATCCCATTGCAAACTTCCATTCCTGCACATATATCTTGGACCCATCCAGATCTCCTCACCTCTGCATCCGAAGGACACCTCTGCTATGGTATCCTTATAAGCTAGGCACTCAAACAAATGAGATCTTAATACTCCACCACTCAGAACATTCCCCAATAGCCTGATAGAGAGATATAGGCACCACATTCTCATTGGAATGGCTAAAGGAAAAAAAAACAATAGATGATACCCTCTTCTGAGGTTGTAGAATAGCTTCTTGAGACAATGGAACAGCCAACTTAAAAAGTGTTGGGTAGTTTCTTAAAACTATGTTGCCATATCTCTCAGCCCATTGTGCTGCTTCTGGGTGTAATGAGAAATGAAGGTAGAGGTCACCACAAACATCAGTATGTGGATGTTTTAGCAATTACAGGCAAAATTGCCTTAAACTGAAAAAAAAAAATCATCCTTTGGCTGATTTATACAATAGGGTACTGCTAAGAAACAAAGGAATGAACTAGTGATTTTTAAAGCACTAGAAGTCTAACTGCAAGGCTACTTACTGTGTGATTTGATTTAGTAAAACTCAGATAATAAACTCAAATCAATAAACAACAGAAAACAGGTCAGTTTCATGGTGACCAGCAACTGGAGATGGAGATATGAGGAATTTGTGGGAGTAATGGAAATATTTTTTCTCTGAACTGTGGTGGTGTTCACATATGTAAAAACTTGTAGAACTATACATTATAAATAAGTTGTGTCACTCAGACAAAGTGTACCCCATTAAAGCTAATTTTTTTAAAATGCTCTTTGGTGAATCAACATTTGATTACACCTGTAGCGTGTGCCCATCTCTGCTGCACAGGTGATCTGCATGATGATAAAATTAGTCCCTAGTAAGTTAAAGCAACATTCGTAGGGCAATACAATTCACCCTTTATATCTGAGCATGAAGTAAGTCGTCATCTCTTACCAACCAGCTCCAGGTTCGTTACTTCTGGTGCTGTTATTGGTGGGATCTCAGTGAAATCTGCATGAACGCAGCTGATAGTCCTGTAGGACAGGGAACAGCTTCTGGGCAGGCGTGGCCTGCCTCTTGGGGTTACAGGTATTAACCGAGAGGACATTCTGAACACATCTCCTCTTATGGCATTCTCTTCCTTCTCGTCTTCCTCCTCGTCTTCCCTCTCAGTCTCCTCCTCACTGTCCTCTTCCTCCCTTCTTCCATGGTGGAGTGGTTGATGTGCTGACCTCCCTTCTTCCTCCGGCCTCAGCTTTCCCTCTGTTCTTTCCTCATCGCCATGGAGCTTAGTTGGCACCGAGGTCTCCTTCTTTTGCTCTTTGTGTCCTTTAACTACCTCTTCATCCTCCTCAGATTGAAGAGCTTCTTTTATGGCTACTTGGTCCATTTCCATCTGAGGAGGTGGTACTTGCTTGTGAAGTTTGTGAATGGATTCTTCTTGTTCTGAAGAATCACCAGAAAACTCAGTTTTATCATATAGCTTCCTACTACTGAGTAGAGAATAGGAGGCTAGCGATCACAGAAGGGTGAAGCAATGGAGGAAGGCTGATGATGTTAATAAATGGAAAAAGTCATAATGAAATGAGGTTAGTAAATATTATTCCCTCGATGGTTTTGACTGCTACGTAAAGATGGAGTGCAGTTGAAGTGTTTTCTTGAAGTTAACTGTAACTTTATTTCTCTTTTGTAGGATTTGCTGTAGACATGTGATTTTGGTGTCTGTGGGCTTTAGTATCGGTTTTTATACTAAATAATGTAATACTATTTTCAAGAAAATATACTAATTGGTAAGCTAAAGAGGGAATAATATTGCCACACAATACAAAATAGAAAGCAGTTTTATTGTGATGCTTTGATACCATTAGATAGTATGCCACTATATATAATAGATACTGTTCTGTGGATCTCTGAGAGACAGCAGAGAAGAGCTAGTCTGGATATAGCCTCACTTTGAGTGAAGAGTTCTAAAGAGAACTCATTGTGTATAGGCTTTCTTCCATCAAAGTTTATAAATTGACCTAATCATTTCTACTTTTAATTGATAATCATATACAAACTAGCCCTGAAAGAAACACAGAAATATAATTATTTGAAGAAGTTACTTGTGTTATAAAATCTGAAGATTTGTTTCTTTGTACCCATACCAAAACATGCCGAAGAAAAGGGGGAAATTAGCAAGTGGAAGCTAAAGGTATCATATTTAAACATTTAAGTCCTTTCTGTGTTCAAGTTTATTTCTCTAAAATAACTACATTCAAGAAGACTTCAGATACTTTGGGAAAATGTCTAAGAATCTCTGAATTTTGCCTATAATCTTCGTATGTTACTTCAAGGAGCCAGTTTCAACAAGCACACCTTCTAAAATTTTTAAAAAGTATAATGCTTCAGGCCAGGCTGGGTTGTGGATGTCTTTAATCCAGCCTTTCTGCCCTGACAGAAGCAGAGGCAAGGGAATTTCTCTGAACTTGAGGCTAGCCTGGTCTTACACATTTTGGGCCAGCCTGAGCTACACTGAGAATCTGTTGGCATGTTTTGGTATGGGTACAAAGAAACATATCTTCAGATTTTATAACACAAGTAACTTCTTCAAAGTACAGAGTTGGAGAAATGGCTCAGGAATTAGGAGCACTGACTGATCTTCCAGAAGTCCTGAGTTCAATTCCCAGCAACCACATGGTGGCTCACAACCATCTGTAATAGGATCTGATACCCTCTTCTGGTATCTGAAGACAGCTACCGTGTACTCATACATTAAATAGATAGATAGATAGATAGATAGATAGATAGATAGATAGATAGATAGATATTACAGTGCCTCAGTGAAATAACTAATATAGCATGAAGCAAAGTACAATTTCTGAAATTCTTCTTGGCTTGATATTGACAAGAAAAAATGTCCCTGCCAATCTGTACCTGTCAAGTTATTTAACATGGTTTATTTTCATAAATCACTAGCTGAACTTTCTTCCAGGAGGCCTAAGCCAACCTTCAGAGGGCACACACACTTGTTCAGGAACAAGCCTCATTTGAAAACAGATCAGTACGCATCCAATGAAACTCATGCTGTGATCTCCAATATAGAGGTGCCACCCAAGAACACCAAGCCCTAGTCCACACCTCTGTGTTTTGCTGGGATTCCTCAGACCACTACTGGATTCCTGTGCTTCCTATGGGAGATGAATGGGAAGAGCCAGGAGGGCTGAAGCTTTGTTTGCTCTGGTTATCAATCACTCCTTTGTTGTCTTGATAGTGATTAGTCTATTCCTGACAAGCTTGATTAAGTAAGATGATGCATTCGTAAGTCAGGGTTTACTGTGGAATTCTATCACTGTCTCTCTAAAGCCTTGTGAGATTCACACATGAAATAGAGTCAGGTTCAACCTGACTCAGTCTAAGAATTAGAAATATAGGGCCACATCTATTGCTGTACCCCAAATACATTTTCCTAGATATATCTGTTTATTGGCACCAAGCTACATTTTAAGTACCTTGATGACTACATTTATAATAATTTACACCTTAATGTAATGATAAAAATAAATAGAAGTTAAAGACTAAATTATCCATGATACTTTGTTTTATATTGTATACCAGCTTCAGAGCAGATCGGGCAGCACTCTCCTTCCGGTTTAATGGTATAGGGGCACGCCTTGGGGTGGCACAAAGTTTCATCACAAAGCACTCTTCCATTTGAGCAGAGGCAGGTGGTGCAGGGCTCAGGAGACCAGACAGCTTTGTTGTACATGATCATGCCCTTTACAAAGCAGTGTCCTTTCTTTCCTAGAAGAGAAAGGGGACTGTTTATTTGTTTGTGACAGGGTCTCTATTATGTAACCTGATTGCCCTGGAACTCACTGTGTAGACCAGGCTGGCCTCAAACTCAAAAGACATCCATTTACCTCTGTGCCCCTCTGACCCTCTGCCTCTGCCTCCTGAGTGCTAGGATTAAGGGAGTGTACCACCATGCTCTGCAAGATTATCAGAATTCCTGATTGGATAAAAATACGGTGCCAAGTCTAACTGATACAACCACATGAGAATACAGATCTGTATGTAGCCATGCACAGGTTAAATGCCTTATAGATTTGCTGTCTGAAAATGCTTTTCATTGGCTCCTCCTCTTCACTGCTGAGTGATCTTCTCGTAACTGGGCTTTGTTTGAATTTCATATCTTCTGTCAAGATAGGCTAAGGTCTGTCACAGGAACAACAACCATCAAAACCCAGCCATTTCCCATTTACTTCAGATTATACAATCTTGACGTGCTGGGGCTCACTCAGCTTGGTTGTGGTCACTCTGCAACAGACAGCATGCTTCCTCTGACAGACTCCCAAATTGCCCAGGAGTGAAAAATATAAGTTTACAGATCATGCTTCAGTTCTAAGTGGATTTCATTCTCCTGACACAGAAAGTTGTATGGCCACACAAAAATTCAGGAGAGGCAGCAGTGTAGCTCTGTCCCAGAACAGAACAGCAAGCTCACTAATGAATGCACAGCTCACACTGTGGATAGGTACTCAGAGAAAGATAAAATAGCATGCTTCTGCAGTCTGCTCAGCAAGACAGTAAGCCCTGTGGGGTTTGTTTTTTTTACTGCATTTTGAAATAAAATGCACACACCAAAAATGATCAACCTCTTGCGTTTACTTTATTGTGTGAGTGATGTGTGTAAGCACACACTGTGGAAGCCAAAGACAACTTGCTGGGAGTCAATTCAAACAATGGACTGTGGTTTAGCAACAGTGAAGTATATGTGATGTGTGTAAATGCAATAAAAACAAATCATGGGCTGTGAGCTGCCTGGGCAGGCATATTCCAGCACCTACTGCCAATCGTGACAGACCCTGACACCTGACTTCAGTCCCCTGGACTCAAAGTGGAAGAAGAGCTGACTTCAGCAGATTGTCTTCTGGCCTCTGTACAACTAGATGTCAGAAGCACATGGTGCACTCCTTTAATCCCAGTACCCAGGAGGCAGTTCCAGGACAGCCAAGGCTACACAGAGAAACCCTATCTCAAAACTACCCTCTTATCAATGGAAAAAATAAATTAAAAAAAACACACATGAAGAAAATAAATTAGAATCTTAAATATTTTTCAAGTAATTTAAGACTACTGGAAAACATTTTTAGACAGTTTGGCAATGTTTAGTGCATTTTCTATACTCTACTGAAATCAACTTGTAGTTTTTGTTGATGGTGGTATTTCTCATGTTTTAATTTAAGTCAGTGAGTTGTACCTGTTGTACATCTAAGAAGGCTGAGGCAGGAGGACTATGGTTTCTAGAAGTTTAAGACCAGCTGAGCAACATGAAACTCCCTATCTCAGAAAAAAAAACAGTAAATCAGATCCACATATGGGAACATGTGGTAATTTGTCTTTCTGACATGCTAGGATGAAAGCAGTGTGAAACAGCACACTCACTTGTGCGCCTGCGCATATCTGAGCTCACTGGTTGACCCTCCTGGCTTGCCAGCATCTGGAGATCTGCCTATTTCTACCCCTATATAAAATGTTATTATAAAAATCCTCAATATAAGAATTTTCATTTGTACAGCCAAAGCTACACAGAGAAACCCTGTCTCAAAAAAACAAAAAAAAAAGAATTTTCATTTGTATACGTGTTTTGTGTGCATGTATATATATGCATCACATGTATACAGTACCCTCAAAAGTCAGAAGGAGATATCAGATCCTCTGAAACTAGAATTATACATTGTTGTTAACTACTTCATGGGTGCTAAGGAATGAACCTGGTTTTTCTATAAAAATATCAAGGGCTCTTAACCACTGAGCCATCTCTCCAGTCCCTAAGTATTTTTTAAATAAATAGTAAGTTTCATAAAAATCAATGTTTGTGCCAACTAGGGTGGCTCAGTGGATAAAAGTGCTTGCTGTGGAAGGAGAAAATTGACTTCTTAGGGCATCATCTGACCGTCACATGTGTGCTTTGGCATGTGGCACCCATACACGTGCAAATATCATGGACACACAAATAATAAAAATGTAAATAAATTTTAAAATGTTAAGTATGTGAAATCACATTATGCATGTTAGTGTGGGGGCTTTTCATTTCCTTATACAGCTTAAGTAGATTCCAGTTAACTGAGATGATGTCTTTATTCTTTAGCACGTAATGGACACATGACATTTATATTTTAGCAAATATAACCTAATTTCCCTTTTTTCATATAATTTTGTTATTTCTGCTAACTTCATGAAAGAATAATTAAGAGTTATGAAATAAGGGTGTGGTGATATTTTCTTTTGTCTTTCAAGGTTTTGTTTAATGGTAACATACCTATAATATGTTTGCATTTTTTTTCTTCCAAACTTAGAAAATGGCTAGTCGTTAAATACTAGTTTCAAAAAATAATTACTTGAGATCTTTGGCAGAATTCCTGTCTTTTAATCCTTTAAAAAGTCAGTATTCTGTATAAAATAAACTCAGTGGATTTCATTCCATTTTTACTTAACAAAACTTTATCTTGAAAATATTTAAATAGAAGCCAGGCGTGATGGTGCATGTCTTTAATCCCAGCACTTGGTAGGCAGAGGCAGGTGGATCTCTGAGTTTGAGACAAGCTTGGTCTACAGCGCAAGTTTCAGGACAGCCAGGACTATACAGAGAAACTCTGTCTCAAAAAATAAAAAATAAAATAAAATAAAGCAAACAAACAGTTAAATCGCCCTGGCTTAAAGTTATTTGATTGGCTTCCACTCTAGATAATATCTTAATAAGTGAAAGGCATTTTACTAATTGACATGTATATTGTTTGTGTTGTGAATATGATCACTTAATAATTTCTGTTTCATAATTGGAAGTAAAACTTTTTCCAGTAATTTTATATGTTTCTTGAATACTTTTTACAGTTATTTTAAATTTTGTGTTTATATATCAGAAGGTAGTACAAAAATTCATTCTATTTTTTTCTATATAGAGTTCAGCTCATGGAGACATTTTCTCCCTGACACATTTATTCTCTTACCTGGTAACACACTGTAACTTGATTCTACTCCACGATTACTTAGAAGTGATTCTATGTTTTCCTCTATACTGTAATCAGAGTTGGCCATGGGTAACCTAGCATCTGGTGCAGCAGTGGTTTGCTGAACTTCAAGCTGTGTGGTGGCTCTGGGGTGGAATGAAGAGCTTTTCCTGAGTCTTCTCTGGTCCATCCTCCTTCTTTGCCTCCTAGTACTTAGTTCACAATCAGTTTCAAAAACAATAAGCAGAATGAGACAAAACAAAACCACTCTCTTCATATTTGATTTTTTTTTTCACCAATGAACTTCTAAAAGGAAACAAAATTTAAAGTTGTTAGTAACTCTATTCTTACTTCTGGAAGTTGACTTAGTTGTCTTTGGGGGCCACAGAAGTCTTTGAGGAGCAGCACCAGTGTGATGTGTGGTCTGGATCCTGCAGTTTACTGCTGGGTCAGAGTTTGGAATATCTGTCTTTCTAGTCTGGGCTTGAGCCAAGTTTTTCTATAAAGGACCAAATAGTAAATATCTAACCCTTTATGGATTATTTGTTCTCTGTCTTAACTATTCAGTTCTGCTATTGTAGTCTGGAATTAGCCATAGATGTTAGTTGACTGTGACTGTGTTCCAGTAAAATGAAAATGCCTACAGCAGCAGACCCATTGGACCCCCAAATGCCAGAGTTTGAGCAGTCTTTGTCTGTTAGGGTGCTCTATGGTTATCACCCACAACTCTTCTGACACTTTCATCACTAGCTAGTTTTCTCTGCTGGAGAGTAGTGTGCATGGTTATCCTTTATAAAAATAGCTGTAGAACAGCACACTCTTTTGTGGACTTGTGCATATCAAGGCAAGAGGTCAACACCAGGTGACTTCCTCAGTCTGAATCCAGAGCTCACAAGTTGACTCTCCTGGCTTGCCAGCATCTGGAGATCTGCCTGTCTCCACCCCAACTCCACCCAGCACTACAATTACAGCTGTGAGATCTTCATGGATTTGCAGTAAACACTTTACCCATTTCTGAGCCATTTCCTCAGCCCAGAACTTTTTTTTATTTTTAAGGGAAGGTGAAGCATTTCATGAAGGAATGTGCATACAGGCACATGGACATGTGAGGACCACCTCAGTGACATCCTCAGAAATGCTGTTTGCTTCCTTTGATAGAGGGTCTTTCATTGACCTCAGACTTAACAAATTAGGCCAGACTGTCTAGACGTTGAGTGTCAGGGAGCCTTAGGTCCCCAACTCTAGTGGGATTACATATCATTGCATCTTGTTTTATGTGGGCTCTGGGAACCCTAACTCAAGTGGTCTACCAAACAAGCCATCCTTTCAGCACCAGGATGAGTAATTTCAAGAATAGTTCAGTTCCCTGTGAAACTGTATGTAATGAAACTGAAAAATGAACTTGAGAAATATGTTTTTAGGCACTTTTGATCTGGCAGCAATATTGGGGACAGATAGGCTGGTGGAGTAGGCATAGGTGAAGTAAGTATCATGGACAGAGAAGAATCACCTCCACAGTGACCACAGGGCTGCATCCAGATGCTTCAAAATCAGCTCTACCTTCCAGGCAGGACTAGCACATTTTCACAGGTTCTCGGGTCAGCAGGCAGCTTTCTTTAGTGTTCCTCTTCAGCTTGGCCTGAAGCCCTTCATAGCCCACTCCTTGTTTTAGTGTTCCAGAAATAAAGAGCTCCTGCACCAAGTCTAACATCTATTCCTTATGAAAATTCACTGGTTTAGTAGTAAGAGGGTACTTGTTTCATATAGTAAATACCATTCATGGGAAGCTTACAACAAACATTATTCACAGTGAAATATTTAATTTTCTCATAAAGAACTAAAACAAGGACATCTCTCTTACTACTTCTCCTAGTGCTCTGCTGGATTTTCTAGCCAGTGTAATGGCACAATACAAGGAAACAAAGGACACCTGAGGGCTCCAGGAAGCTGTTACTCTACCTTTCAATAAAACCTGGACTGCCCTTAAAAAATCCCGACTGTGAGAACTTTTACCTTTGCAGTTCCTTGTATCGTTTAAATTCTTCAAGTTCCAATGTTGAAATTTTATTAAAATCTAAATGAAGCTCCAGTAAAGTTGGTGGTAGGCCTAAAAAGAAAGGTATGTTAGACAAAGTAAGGCCAGGCTTCAGTGACTGTTTCCCAGATTGTGGAATTAGGCAGGTATTTCAAATGCTTTCTTTTAAAAAAAAAAAAATTGATTACAGAAGTTTTCAACCATACTCAAAAGTAGAAAGTATTTCATGAACCACCATACTGTTGTCCTGCTTCAACAACTAGCCTCATGTTTCCACTTCATCTCTCTCTCTTACTTACTTACAGGCTTATACAGTCACTTTCTGGCAGGAGTTTAGCTGAAATCTACTGTGTGATGAAATTGTACCTGTGAATACTTCACTAGGTGCCTGATTAAGTCATATTTTTGTTTAGTTTTTACATAACCACCTTATAATATTCTGCAAAATTGACAGCAATCCTCTATCATCTAATATTCTTTTCCTCGGTTCTCCTAAGTTGTCTTCCATTGTTTTAAAGTCTTCCTTGGATGTGATGTCCCACACCTACGTCCTCAGCACCTGAGAGCTGAGGTGGGAAGATTACCAATTCAGAGGCTGCCTGGATATCACGTGAGACCCTGTCTCAGAAGCAAACAGCCCAAGGACTGAGATTGTAGCTAAGTGGAAGGCCCAAGTTTGAGTCCCAGATTTTGAGTATTAACAATTAATTGACAATTAATATACAGCTGTGTAATGGTGGCAGATGCCTTTGATCCTAGCACTCGGGAGGCAGGGGTGGGTGGTTCTCTGAGGGCAGCGGGCTACACAGAGAAACCCTGTCTTGAAATAACAAAAAATACAGATTGTAGATAAATAACATTTTATAATCTCTAGAAATGTATTGTCAATGAGAAACAGGAGATAGATGCTGACAGATCTAAATATGTTTTTTCAATGAAAGTTAAGATTTATGATTTTAATTCTTAGCAATTATAAACCAATATTTGTTGAAAAATCGTTTAGACAAGAAGAAGTAAAATAGCTTTATTCACAAATGTAGAAAATCTTGTGGAATCTAAAAAGCTCTTAAATTTTAAAAGGTTCCTGTAACCAACAAGAAAAATCAGTCAGCTTTCAGGATATAAGATCAATCTATAAAATTCAAGATTATTTCTGTATGATATCAAAAAATAGAAGCTAAGTCACTGTCATTTTGTAATAGCATATAATCTGAATTATTAGTGAATATCTTATAGAAGGTGGACAAGGTGTCTGCTCTGAAAAATCAACTCTAAAGTACCGCTGAAAGAAATGGACTGAGGCCTTTGTTAGGAAAATGTTTACCCTCTATATGGATGAGATGACAGAAGGTTACTAAATTCTCAGTTCTCCCCACATTGATGTCCATACACTTGTCACAAATCCAGTTCTAATTCTACCATGCTGTTTTGGTAAAAATTCGCCAGCTGACCCAGGCATGGTGGCACACATCTGTAATCCAGTCAGATGTAGGAGGATTGAAAGTAGAGGTCAGCCTGGGTGACAAGACTCCATCCCAGCATAAAATTCTAGCTTATGGTAGAGTTTCTGTAAAGCACGCACAACACCCTGGATTCAGACCCTAGTTATTTTTTTTTAAAGGTAAAAGAAGGGCTTGTGAGACGACTCAGCATGTAAAGGTGCTTGCCAAAAGCCAACAGCGAGTTCCATCCCTGCAACCCACATGGGAGGAGAGAGAAAATACTCCCAACAGTTGGCCTTCTACCTCTACATGTGCTCTGTGGCATGTGTGTGCATGCACATTCACATGCACACACAATAAATAAATGTTTAAAATGAAATTATAAAATGTGAAAATGTTTGGTGACACATAAAATCTTACAGTTTCACTGGAACACAGCATGCTTGTTTAGTTATGTATTGTTGTGTCTTTGTACCACAAGCCAGGATCATGCCTGCAAAATGGAAAGTAATTTATACTCAAGAGCATACATTTTCCATTCAGAGCTTAAAGCACTGCTTTGGAATTGGGGATGATTTGTCCCCCAAGGGACAGATAGCAATGTCTGGAGATATTTTCAGTCATCATAGTTAGTAGCGGCTCTACAGTATCTAGTATAAAGAGGCAGGGTGTGCTACTGATCACCCTGCAGGATATAGTCTTCTACAGCAAAAAGTTAGCTGAGCATATTGGAGATGCTGAAGTTGACAGCCTTGATTGGGAGGAATAGTTAATGTAGGATTTCATAACTACACTCACATGCTATTATAAGCAGTACATGCTGCAGTTCATTGAATAAAGTCAATGATTCATTATCAAAAGGAAGAGTGGGAAATTATCGTGTTCTAATATGATAACCTCCTTCCTAAAGTTTTTCTCCTAACTCCAGACTTTTCATTGTATCTGTTTCCAATTCTAGAACTTAAGAGGAATAACCCAGATTCATTATCCTGTCTTGAATATCTGCCAGGTATAGCAGTACTGTGGGTATCACTGTCCATATCAAGGATATACCTTATATATTCCAAAGTGTTGGTTCTCCTCCCTTCATTCTGGTAGTTCTTTTCCTATTTCTGGGGATTGAACCCAAGATCCTCCACATTCTAGGTAACCACTCTGCTCCTGAGCTGACACCTCCAACCTTTTCTTCACTTTGAGATAGTGTCATTAAGTTACCAATACGGCCTCAAACTTGAAGCCCTTCTGCCTCAGGCTCCAAGAAAAAAGCAAGTGCCACAGCGTTTCTGTTGTGATCAGGTAGCACTGCTGTTCCCTAGCATTCTACACGGGCCAAGTGCTGATTCATTGTATACAGCTCTCCCTGACCCTCTGATGTCTACATCTCCAGTAACAGAGAATCCCTGTGTCCTCTGCCCTCACCACCTGTGTCCATACAGCACTGCTGGAAAGTTCTTCCTTTGGCCAAGCTTGTCTAAATGATAGCCCATAAGAGATTAAAGATGAAAAACATGTCCACAGTTTTTCAATTCATATTTTAATCAATGCTTTTAATATAAATTTACATTTGTAAAAATGATACCTGAGTAAAAAAACAAAATGGTACATAAGTGCGTGCAACTGAAAAGTTGTCCTACTTACAGTTCATTACAAGCATACACAAATATTTGTTTCAGGGACCAAAGGATGACTATTTGGGGCTTTGAGGTCCATAGTCTATGTCACAGCCTCTCAGCTTTCCTCTTAAGGGCCCAGAGTAATGCTCAGTACCATCTGAACAGGTGGGCCAAGCAATCTTCTGATAGTGCTGTGTTCAGAAAACAGAATTTGTTATGTGGACCATGTTTTTCCAGCTCCAAATTCAGTATATCCTTTATGGCTTCTTCTAACTACATATGCTCACTTATACATTTAAATGTTGTATATTATGTATAAATTAAATATGTATTTAAATGAAAAATGGGAACTGGTGGATACACATGTCAGTGTATTCAAAAACAGTCTACTCAAGCCTGTTTTCATCCTATACTTAACAAATTTGGTATCTGAATTTTAACATTTTTCTCTCTTAGTTTTTTTGAAACAGGTTCTATTACGGGCTAGGCTGTTCTTTCACCTTTCTATGTAGCTGAAGTTCTCCTTGAATTCCTCATCTTTCTGCCTCTCCATTCCAAGTACTGCGGTTACAGGTATATATCCTGTGCCAGGCTACTTGAACATTCTTAGTCATACATCCTCTGGAAGCATTGTAATATTCTCAATTTTATTTTTAATTTTACAAATAACATATTAGTAGAGTCTCTATTTTTTAACTTTTCCATTTTGGTCTTTTATGTTGGTTGACATTTATAAATTACCTTGGTCAGGCTTATTAATCAACCTTAAAGCTATGCTATATGCCTATACAAGATCAGAACTATCATACTTTCTTGGTGCTTTTATCATTAGATAGAGCCTTTCTGCATCTCTACCAGTGTTCTAGTAAGATCTACTTTGTCTAATATTAATGAAGCTACCTTCTTTTGGTAATGTGTGCTTGGCAATTTTGTATCATTTTGCTTTCAGCCTTTCCATAGTATGTTTTTCATATGTTCTTTGATTTATAATGTAGTCTGACAATCTTTGTATTTGATAGGAACAAGAAATCTATTTATACTTTGTTATACCTTTACCTCTTCCAAGCAATTCAAGAGCAGGATGGCTTTGATTCCAGTTATTCAATTCTGGAATAAAAGCAATTTTCATCATACACTTTTAAAAAACACATATATTTTCCATATATGTTAAACATAGTATATCTTTTTTTAAAAGATTTATTTATTTATTTTATGTATATGAGTGCCCTATCTGCATGTATGCCTGCATGCCAGAAGAGGGCATCAGAACTCATTACTGATGGTTGTGAGCCACCATGTGGTTGCTGGGAATTGAACTCAGGACCTCTGGAAGAGCAGTCCATGCTCTTAACCACTGAACCATCTCTCCAGCCCCATAGTATATCTTGAAAAGATGATTATTTTTCAGGATGTCAGTATATCTCAGTGAATATTTCCCATCAAACCTGACAACATACATTTGATCCCAGGAAATCCCACATAGAAGGAAAGACTGACTCCCCCCCCCCACATTGTCCTCTGACCTTCACAAGTATACCATTCCACACATGTACAAGCACACTAAACACATGTAGACAAAAGATGGTTGTCATTGCTTTGTATTGTACCATTTAAGACCACACTTTGTGAACCTCTTCACTTACCAAGATTTGGGGCAGATTCTCTTTTGTAAGAATCTGGCCTATGTTGTAGGGTATTTAACAGCAGTTCTGGCCTCTTTCACCATCACCTTCCCCCAGTTATGACAACCAAGAATACTTCCAGACATTGCCAAATGACCTGCTCCCCATCTGAGAACTCCTAACACTTGAACTCTTTCCTCATGTCCTTTCCTGTATCTCTGGATTTTTTATTCAGATTTTCCAAAAGTGTCTTAAGGTAATTTATTCTGTGCAGTTCTATTGAAGAGCAACTCTTTTAAAAAAAAAAAAAAAACTAGAAATGATTTCATACTACCTTAATTCTGAAAGCACATGTTCGCTGCATAGATTTCAGGTTAATAGTGCCTAGCATTTACAGATCCCATTCCTGCCTTTTTGTTTGTATTGATTCTACTTTTGTTGTTGTTGTTGCTGCTGCTGCTGCTGCTGTTTCAAAGAGGGCCTCATGTATCCCATGCTGTCCTCAAGCTTACTGTATGACCATAGAGGACCTTGACTTTTTCATCCTTTTGCCTACATTTCCCAAGTGCAGGGATCACAGGAGTATGCCACAATGCCTTCCTTTGTAGGTTCAATTGAGAAGCCTTGACTCAATCAAACTACTTTAAAAATAGCATTCTTTTTCTGGCCACTTTGGATGTTCATCTTGGCTTTTAGATGTTCTTCTCTGGTACACATAAAAGGTGTGGCTCTCTTGTTTCTATTACATTTGGGATTCATGATATATTTTGAATACATACTGAATTCTGGGGGCTCAAGACAGAAAGGTTTCTCTGTGTAGCCCTGGCTGACCTGAAACTTACTCTGTAGACCAGGCTGTCCTGGAACTAACAGAGATCCATCTACCTTTACTTCCCAGTGTTGGGATTAAAGGCATGCATCAACCATCTGCATGCTAAACCTTTTTTTTTTTTGTCAAATTTGGGTGTTTGTTTTGTTTTGTTTTCGTGTTGTCGTTGTTCTCTTCAGCCCTTGGCTCTTCACATATGCTTTAGTGCTTTTTTTTCTTAGAACTCCAGTGATTTGTGCAATAACCATTCCATTGTCTTCCATGTCACTTTCTCTTTATGGTATTCTTTTGTTCTTCTGTTGTCACATGATTCATCCTCACGATTCTAAGTGAGCTGGTTTTTTAAATGCATTATTAAATTCATCTGTTGGCCTCTTTGTTTCTTTTATTGTATTTCTTAGTAAATTATTTTTATTGTTTTCAATTCTATACTACAACTTATAATACTCTTTGAACATTTAATTATGTTTGTTTTAAAGTCTGTCTGAAGATCAGGTTTTCTGAGTCCTCTTTTTGACTGTACCTATCATCTGTTCTTTGGAATTTTAGTTGTGGTCTTTTTTTTTTTCCTTTATCTGATGTCCTTCAAATTCATGCCAGAAATTATATAAAATCTCATCAAATGTTTGAAACTAGGATGATGTATTTTCTGCTTAAAGATTTTCATGCTTTGAGTGTAGTATTACAGACACTGTCAATAATGCATCGAGTGATTTGCAGCTGGACATCACCGTATCCAATATCATCACACCATGGGTTTAGTTTTGCTAATGTCACAAGCACCGATGTCATCACCCCAACTGCTTGGCCCTCGTCTTTGTTTGTGTTTCTCCCCAGCCTTGTGAAGCTATTTTAAAACTCTGTTAACCTCTTCTGGAATCCACAGATGTTTCTAGAAGCAAAGCTGTTTCAGACCTGACACAGTCTGACTTTCAGTCTTATTCCAGCACTGGCTCTGCTGTTTTTCTCATCTTCCTGATTGTTCTCAGCAGATGAGTAGACCTGTTTTCCTTGCCAGAGGAAGTGTCTTCAGATTCCTTTTGTTCTTTGCAGAAATATGTATTTCCTACTCTTAAATGTGGTAAAAATTTGTGAATCTTAAATGTCTGAAAATACTCTGTTTGGTTAAAGCTAGAATTATAGCTTCAAAATCATTTTCCCTGAATACTTTTCAGATACTGATCATTTCCCTTTCACACACTTTGTTTTCCTTTTGCTTTTGCTTTGATACAAGGTCTTGCTATATAGCCATGGCTAACCTAGAGCCAACAATGTAGACTAGCCTAACCTTGAACTTGTGGTTATCCTCCTGTCATTGCCTCCAAGTGTTAGGGTTGCAGGTGTTAGCTACCACACCCAACTTGGTCCATTCTTGTTGTGTTATGGAGAAGTCAACTTGAATTCAATTCTCATCCCTTTATAGGAAGGTTTTTTATTCTGCCTTCCTTTGGAAATGTTCTAATTTTTAGTATGTCTTTAACATTCATAAGTTTTGCTATGAGCTAGTAATAAATTATTGATTTTTCCTTCTTGAAATTCTTTAAACCCTAAAACTTAATTTCTCTGATGAACTTTTTGTTAATTCTTTCCCATGCTTATTCAAAGATCCCCCCCCCCCATCCTCCACTCTTCCCCTAACCCTGGGAATGAAGCTATGGCATTAGGGGTGTTAGACAAGCACCATACCCCTGAGCTTCTCTCCCAGCCCCGTCCATCCTCCATCTTTAAATTGATCCCATTCTTCTCTTGAGTGACTCCCCTTTTCTGTCTTACCAGGAGCTCTTCTTACTTCCCAGTGCAGCTGTATAGCCATATGTAGGAAGGTGTGTGTGTGTGTGTGTGTGTGTGTGTGTGTGTGTGTGTGTGTGTCTGTGTGTGTGTGTGTCTGTCTGTGTCTGTGTGTCTGTGTGTCTGTGTGTGTCTGTGTGTGTTACTAACATACCTTCTATTTTCTAGGAACTTGAGAGACAAGAAGGCACAATGTTTATTTGGCTTCCCCTCTTGAATCTCAGTAGTTCTTTTTGTAGCTTCATCTGCTAAAATCTCCTCCTAAACCAGGCTTTACCTGGTTTCATCCATGTGGATTTGCCCTTAAATCATCTGAACTCAGCAGCTAGCAGCCCTCAGGGATGTCTTCATGTAAAGTCCACCATCAAACTTTTGTTCAAGATATTTGTATAAGTATTCCAGTCATTTGAAAATCATTACTGTAGGTCACTGAAATTAAATCATGCTTAAACATTTTATGACCTCCTTTAGTTTGAAGAGAACTAGTCTGCACAGTGTAAAAGAACAGGCTTATTGGTACCTGAGGTCAGCTCTTTTTTTTTTTTTTTTTTTTTTTTTTTTTTTTTTTTTTTTTTTTTTTTGGTTTTTTGAGACAGGGTTTCCCTGTATAGCCCTGGCTATCCTGGAACTCACTCTGTAGACCAGGCTGGCCTCGAACTCAGAAATCCACCTGCCTCTGCCTCCCAAGTGCTGGGATTAAAAGCGTGCGCCACCACCGCCCGGCTTTTTTTTTTTTTTTTTTTTTAAAAAGATTTATTTATTTTTTAATTTATGACTACATTGCAGCTGACTTCAGATACACCAGAAGAGTGCGCTGGATCCCATTACAGATGGTTGTAAGCCACATGCGGTTGCTGGGAATTGAACTCAGGACCTCTGGAAGAGCAGTTAGTGCTCTTAACCACTGAGCCATCTCCCCAACCCCAGGTCAGCTCTTATAATGAGGTAATGTAGGGAAGCAGGAGCAGCAGCAGCAATGAAAACAGAAGCTGGAGGGCGGGTAACACTGGGTTTCTTAAGTAGGACATTGGGCCCTGATGGACATATGACAGATGTTCTGCATCCTGTACACATGTACACTGACTTTGTTTGTTTGTTTGTTTGTTTGTTTTGACAGTTATATGTTCAGTAGATGAGGGTCATGAAAGCTCTCAGTTTGGACCTCAGGACTCTCTGGATAGTCTCCAGAGGTCTCCCATGAAGGTGAAGTGTGCCATCCCTGGGCCTCCCATAAGCATCCACTTGTCAAGGGATTATGAGTGTTAGGATACAGTGCCTGCTCAGCTAGATGACACACTCTCCCAGGGTTGTGATCCTGAGACTCATCTCTTAGTCTCCCTATTCCAAATGAACTCATTTCTGTCTAATTTAGAAATCTAAATAGATTTGTACAGAAATAAATTGGCAGAGCTGTCTTAATTTTAACAAAACCAGGATCTAGTTTAAGTAAAATTTAAGAAATGGCCCTGTATTCTGATTGATATTCAGTGGTTTATAGAATTTTGCATTTTGTTTAATTTTTAATAAGCAACTTTATACTTATATGTCTAAAAACTCTAATCACAATGTCATTTTCATCAAGTAATGTTTTTGCTTTTTTGACCTTTTATGTTTGTCCAGATGTTGAATATGATCTATAAACTTTAAGTAGCTCATTTTCTCCATTAAAATTTCTTATCACTTGTTTTAAGGAAACTTTAATGCTATCTATAATTTTGAATATATCTGTGAAGTCACAAATTATCATCCTTCATGTTATTACCAGACTTAAACTGGAAAATGCTTTTAACTGAAAACATATTTTCCTTTAGAACTTAAGGACTGAGAAAATGAAAGTTTCTAGTCAGTTGATACTTCTACTCGTCACATAATTCTATCTAAACATATGACAATAGCTCATAATTCCTTAACATTTGAACTACTGGGAAATGATCATCCTGCAAAGAAACAATCATACAATATAAAACATACCTTTAACTTTTCATCTGTTAGTACAGAGTTAATTTTCTTAAAGATTAAACATATTTGCACGCAAAATACCCAGATATTAAAGCCATGCCACATACTGTAGTAGAAACTTAAAATTTAAAACATGTTTACCTGGAAATCTAAACTAAGTAGCTTTGCTTGGTGTCATTTATGTCTCCCGCTGAAAGTGAAACAAAAAACGAGAACTTTCTTTAAAAACAAAGAAGAGAAGGGAATGTTGAAAGTGTTAGCTGACTTCTTAGTAAAATCTAAAAGAACTGCTTCCCTTGGGATAAACGCCTTTCAGTTCTTTGTGTGGAAAATCAGCCAAAAAAGTAACCAGGGAAAATGGTTACCAAGGGAAAAAAAATTTTTTTTAATCACAGGAAAAGTGGAAAACATCAGCTGGAGTTGGGCGGGGTGGGGGTAAGGGACATTTCCTTTGCAGGCTGAAAAGGCAGAAAAAAAAATCTGTGACTTTCATAGGCTATTTCCATAAAATATTGCATGAATATTGACGTTCAAACAATCCAACATACCACTGGAGATGTGTCAGGGTTCTAGGGGTGGTATTCTCATCACCTAAAACCTGTATGTATCTCCAATCCTGTTTAAATTGGGTTAAATTTCTCCATATTAAGAAAACAAAAACTGGTTACATATTAATTCCATTAGATTATGTAATTTCAGTAGCTGGGTGGTAGTACACACCAGTAATCACAGCACTTGAGAAGTAAAAACACTGGGAGTTTTAAGATCATTCTGGGCTACATATGGACTTAGATCTAACATAGGCTACATAAGACCCTGTCTACAAAAAAATATTAATCTCATATATATGAAATACATATATCTGTATCTCTGGCTGACTTGGAACTCATTATGTAAAGCCAGGCTGCACTTGAACTCACAGAGGATCTGCCTGCCTCCCTATCACAGACCTAGGATGAAAGGTATGGAGCATTACACCTAGGTCATTGTGTGTGTGCGCGCGCACGCGCGTGTGTGTGTGTGTGTGTGTGTGTGTGTGTGTGGCTGTGTCTGGCTGTGTCTGGCTGTGTGTCTGAGTGTCTGTGCACATGTGTAGACACACAGATTTGACATTTAGAAATAATAAAGACAAAGACTTAACATACTTGCAGATGGTGGTAAATCATAAGTGACTTATGTAGTGAATGATACTTACCTCTGCATATCAAATTTGGAAACAAGAAAATTGTGAATAAATACCTTTGTATTTTTTAAAGGAATTTATTTTTTCAATTAAAAAGTCATTACAAAAAGAAAAAGAAAGCAATTCAGCTGACCAATGAAGCAAGAAAAGCATTAAATTAGAAGTTCATAGACTACAAAATGCTATTTGTTGGTGAAAGGCAGGAAGTAGTTTTTCAACATCAAAAATGGTCAGGAAGTATTCATTAAAATGTGTACTATCACTCCTAGTGTGGAATGCTGAGACAGAGCATAGAGCTAGAGCATGAACATTATTATTCTCAAAAATAATTCCAAATAATTCTCACAAACCTAGTAATCATCAATCACATTTGGAACATGCTGTTTTGTTGGAGGGAAACTGTATTCGTGGCATGGCTGTGTGTGGTAAACAGAAATGGTTCTATTGAGGACAGCTAGCTAATAAAGAGCAGTACTGTCTGCCCACAAGTCACCTCAAGAAATCCATTATAGGAACATTGTTCTGTGCAGAGATGTGCCTTCAGGGTAGTGCTTTGAAGTGCTCTAACTATGGACTTGATTTAAAAAAAAAAGTAACCCAATTGTATATTTAGAACAATGGATTACAAAGCTCTTTGGAAACTAAAGTAACCCCATTAAGACTGGCATGTGACATTGTCTCAGATATACCAAGAAGAAAAAGGAAATATTCAAAGCAATACATGCATTATCTTTTGGGGTGTGTGCGTGTGTGTGTGTGTGTGTGTGTGTGTGTGTGTGTGTGTGTGAGAGAGAGAGAGAGAGAGAGAGAGAGAGAGAGAGAGAGAGAGAGAGATTCGGCATCTTTCCAAAGAGCAGATTAGAAGGGATAAACAAAAACTGTAAATAGTATTTATCTCTAGGTGATGAAATTACAGAGACAATTTTTCTAAGTAATTCATCATTTTCACAGTGTTTTGTACTTTTTTATAACCAGATGAGGAAAGAATAACTGTAAAAGAGTATAAGCAAAAAAATACTTTTTAAAAAGAGAGAGAGAGAGAGAGAGAGAGAGAGAGAGAGAGAGAGAGTGTGTGTGTGTGTGTGTGTTGCCTGCATGTATGTCTGTTTACCGTGTACATTCAGTGCCCACAGAAGTCAGAAGAGAAGATCATATCCCCTAAAACTAGAGTTGTAGACAGTTGTAAGCGCTCTTAAGAGTGCTAGGAAAACAGCGCCAAAATAGCTCAGTTGGGAGAGCGTTAGACTGAAGAGTGCTAGGAAATTGAACCCTGGTCCTCTGCAAGAACAGCTAATGCTCTTAATGACTGAGACATCTTTCTGGCTCCTTTCACAAAAGTAACTCATTAGTGGGATAAAGGAATAACAGTGACTATCATTCTGAGATTGACATGGTTGGAAAAAAATTTAAGATTTCTGAGGTCACTGCTTTACAAGTTTTGTGGTTGAATGGATGAGCTCTTTTTCAGAAACTATTTTAACCACACTAGTACATGGAAAATGGTACTGTTACAGTCTTTCCTTCTCTCTTATTCTTGTGGGCATACTTATGTCCTAAAACTTGGCTACCATAGTGATCTAAAGGAACATAGTATTTGCCACTAAAGACTGTGCAGAGAGTCAGCAGCACCCGTGCTAGCAGGGAGCCTTTGGACCTTTCTTTTACTTAACACTGAAGTCACTTAGACTGGTTAATGTTTATTGTCAACACAAACTCGAGTTAAATGGAAACAGTGGACCTCAACTGAAGAATTGCTATTGTAAAGATTGGTTTGTGGGCTTTGATTAGTGACTACTGTGAGGGGGCCCAGCCCACTGTGAACACTGCTATCTCTGGGTGGGTAATCCTGGACTGAATGTGAAAACTTGCTAGAAAGCAAGTCAGTTAAGTAGTTATCCTACATGGTTTCTACCTCTGCTCATGCTTGAACTCCTGTCTTGATTCTCTCAGTGATAGAGTATATCCTAGAAACATTCAACGAAATAAACCTCCCTACCTAAGTTACTTTTGGTCTTAATATTTATAACAGCAGCAGAAAGCAAACTAGAACAAAAATTAGTACCAGAAGTGGGGTGCTGGTGTGCTAGGTCTGGCCATGTTATTTGGAGGTGGTGCAGGGTGAAAATTGAAAAGATTTTGGAACTGAAATCCAGAAAAGCTATTAAGCTGAGAGCTTAATGACCCATTCCTTGGAAGCTTGAAAGATAATGCAGAGAGAACTGCTGACAATGGAGGCCCATGGCGACATTTCAGAGGAAGGAAAAAAACCTTTCAGGGTGTTCATATGATACAGTTCAAGACTCTGTGGTTGCTGTTTAACTGGAGCTGAAATTTTAACTGATTAACAAGAAATGAATACTCCTGAAGTAAAGCCTTCTGTGCTTTACTAGGAAACAGATTGCTGGTTAGCTGAGGCTGAAACTTAGCTATGGTTTAAAGAGGAAAGCACCATTGAGGTTAAAGCTTCTAGAAAATATTTTCTTAGGGTCAAAATACAGAAGCCATGGTCCAATGGGACGCCAAGGCTGTACATCAAACCTTAAAGCAGAATTTGGCAAATAATGTTTAAGGGTTTCTCACATGATACTGATTTTGAAGGTAATTCTGGCATGAAAGAGTCTGAAGGGAGACCAAAAGAGGCCAATGGTGAAGGCACATTCTCAGTTTTGCAGTGGAGACCCCAGAAAATTGGGGATGACAGGACTGAGATCTACCAAGGACAGCAGCATGTGTAGAATGGAGCTGGTCCAGGCCTACAAGATAAGCTTTGTGGCTGTGGGATGGCAAAGCTAGAGAAGTAAGTGGATACACCCAAACCTTTTGCAGCCAGAACATCATGTGTGACTCCCAGATGTCTAACATAGAGCTACAGGATTTAATCTACACTGATACACTGATAGACTTTGGTTTTCCTTATGTGTAATTATTTTTATTCCCTAGTTCTTCTCTTTTGGAGTAAGGAAGTTTGTTTGTTTTTTCCAGAAGCCCACAGTTGAACTTAAGAGTGAGACTTTTCAAGTTGTATATTTTATATTATAATATTTATATCAGATCTTGATGACAAAAGATATGGATTAAGGTGATGTGTTTGGGTACAAGTTGACAGGGAGTGGAGTCTACTTGTTAGATTCAGCTGTCAACTTGACAAAGCCCAGAGTTATCGGAGGAAGTCTTGATCAGATTGGCCTGTGGGAGTGTCTGTGTGACATTTTCTGTTGTTGTTGTTGTTGTTGTTGTTGTTGTTGTATTTCTAGAGGAGACCCTTATTAACTTAAGAGTGAACATGACATATTGCTGAGTGACAGAAAGGAAATTACAAATCTTGATGTATTGTAGATGTGTGAGTAAATATGAAGGCTGGTATACCTAAAATAACCAAAGCTTTATTGAGAATTTTATAGATTGTTATTTTATTCATAATTACTTCTTTTACTGTCTGAATATTTATTTACGTTTCTAGTCAGAAAAATAAGGTTATTTTTGTTTTAGACACACAACAAAACAGAAAGAGCTCCTTAAATAATAACTGGATTCTGATCATCTAACTTTTCCATCAAGCCCTTTAACTCCTAATTTAATATTTTTACACTACTATTTGATAATAAGGCACTATACTCTATAATGTATTTGATTCCTTCTTCATCTCTGCAGTTTTCTCACTCTTGACTCCTCTTTTTCTCTCTCCCACTCTCACATTCTGGTTTTCATCATATCCTTCTTCCTTTCCTCCCCCTTCTTTCCTCCCTCCCTCCCTCCCTCCCTCCCTCCCTCCCTCCCTCCCTTCCTTCCTTCCTTCCTTCCTTCCTATTAGTTACATCATTTTCCTCCATTCCTTTTCCTCCCTCCAATTGTTCCATGCTCCTGCCTTCAAATTCCTGGCAACTTCTTCTATGCTATTGTTGCCGTGTGTGTGCAAGTGTGCAGTTGTGCAGTGTGAGTGTTTGAATATGCAGGTGTGTGTGTGTGTGTGTGTGTGTGTGTGTGTGTGTGTGTTTTATCTGATTCTCAGCAATCCTTAGTCACCTATAATTATTTGTGTACTGTGGAGGCCACATCAGCTTTCTGGAGGTTTCCTTCATCCACATTAGCATGTGTATTGGTGTCATCCTTGTTCAGATTATATTTGGGCAAACATATTTGTAAAGGAATTTTAATCTAGCAGCATAGCTGC